AAAACCGGTGATCCCACCAACGTGATGTTGTACATTCTTTATTGCCCTGCGCGGCAGAGTTGACGTTTTTACTTTTACTTGTACCTTACTACTTTTACTGATTTACTAATTTTTAACTTAGTTTTAGAATAATGGCTAAATTTACTTTTATGCAGTGGAATTGCCGCGGCCTTTTAAGGAATATTGACGATGTTAACTTTTTTATGGACAACCTCCGTCCTATAGCTCTCTCTTTACAAGAGACACACCTTAATGATCATCATGTGTCTATTTTATGTCGACACGAAGTTTTTAGAAAAGATCGTTTCACATCAAACTCATCTGGTAGAGTAGCGGTAATCGTCCAAAGTGGACTTGCTTGTTCTCAGATTCCTCTTTCTACACCCTTTGAGGCTGTAGCTGTACATCTCCTTTTGGACCGCCTTACCACCATTGTTTCCATCTATATTCCACCAAATGTTCCACTGCATATTCATGATCTTCATCATTTAATTACTCAGCTCCCTCACCCCTTTTTACTATTAGGAGATTGTAATGCCCACCATCCCTTGTGGGGTGGCACACGCCAGGACTCGCGAGGTGGGGTCATTGAACGGTTTTTACTGTCATCAAGTCTCTGTCTTTTGAACAGCAAAGAGCCTACCTTTTTTAGCGCAGCTCACAACTCATTTACATCCATTGATCTTTCCATTTCATCTCCATCCTTGGTGTCTTGTTTCACATGGAGCGTTTTAAATAATCCTTTTGGAAGCGACCACTTTCCGGTTGCTCTGGAGAGCGTGAAATATATTCCCAGTCTTATGAAACGGACTCCACGTTGGAAGCTAGAAAAAGCGGACTGGGCTCTTTTTAGCCAAAAATCCAAGCTTGTTCCCTCATTGTTCTCTTCATTAACTCATGACGATGCCACAGCCTACATCACAGAGCATATAATTGGTGTTGCTCTTTGCTCCATCCCTCAAACTTCTTCGAACATCCCCAAGAAATGTAAGCCATGGTGGAATGAGGAATGTTCCACCACAAAGAATAACCAAGATAAGGCTTGGGGTGTCTTTCGTAGATACCCGACATCTGTGAACTTAATGGAATTCAAGAGACGCAGAGCTTGTGCCCGCTGGACTCGGAAGCAGGCTAAAGGAAAATCTTGGCGAGGTTACTTGTCCTCCATCAGCAGCTATGTTCCAGCAAAGGAAGTGTGGGACCGACTTCACAAGGTCGAGGGGAAATACCGCTGTTTTACAATCCCCCTTTTTCCGTCTTCTGGAGCCTGATTGCTAGAGCAGGCTAACGTGTTGGGCACTCACTTCGCTGCTGTTTCAAGCTCCGCACATTACTCTCCAGCATTCCTGAAGCGTAAGGCAAACATGGAAAAGACGAGGCTCTGCTTCACAGGGGGAGCGTCTGCACCTTACAATCAGCCATATACAATGGTTGAGCTCGAAGTGGCTCTCAACTCCCGCAAGAATTCTGCCCCTGGTTCCGATAGAATTCACTACGACATGATCCGACACTTATCTAGAGAGTCACTTAGTGCTCTTCTGACATACTTCAATGGCCTGTGGCGTGATGCCTACTTCCCTGTTGAATGGAAGCGCGCTGAAGTTATGCCGCTGTTGAAACCTGGCAAGGACCCCTCCCTTCGTGCAAGTTACAGACCAATAACATTGTCAAGTTGTCTGGGGAAAACCTTTGAAAAATTAATTAACAGACGTCTTATTTATTTTCTTGAGCAACATAATATCTTGGATATTAATCAGTGTGGCTGTCGTCCTGACCCAGGTGAAAATCTGAAGTGGTTTTACAAGTGGTCCCACTTGTGAGCAAGTGGTCCCACTTTATTTCTAAGTGGTCCCATTTTACTTCCAAGTGGTCCCACTTGGGTTGAAATGGCCCACTTGCTCCCCACCACTTGAATCTAAGTGGTCCCACTTAGAGTCCCAAGTGGCCAGGTTTAGAAAACCACTTTGATCTGAGAATACCACTTTGACTGAACTGGTCCCAGTTGCACTTCAAGACCATTCCGACTTTGCCCCCCCCCCCCCTTGTACCTCTTAACTATATACAGTGTGTTTCCATTATCATGAACCAGGCATTGAAAAAGACAAAGTGCTCTGGCGAATGGAATCAACTGTATGTTGTTAGCATGCACGTTGCCTAAAGGCCAGTAACTTTTTGAGTCTATTTAATTATTTAAAGGTAATTGTCTAACTTTCTAAATATTTATTTAAGGGTAAAGATGTCAATTGGAAAGTGTTTAAGGAAATTAAGAAATACCCGATACAGAACAACAGCAATACCTTAACCTATTTGCAGCATGGGTCACCTTGCATGCTTTTCTCCAGCCTTGAAAAAATGCATGCGAAATGCAAAAATATACCATGTGATAATGCACTTCCCCCATCATGGCACTGGGGAGTGTTGTGAATGACTGTTCTTTGGAGGACCGAAAAAAGAAGCAGGCAAAGCATACCATGTTCCAAATACCCCTATTAGGTGTTTCTAGGGTTCCCTACAACTGTCCAATTGCCACCTTTCCACTTAAATCAATGCTTAGAAGAAAAAAACAATAGTGAGTGCTGGAGAGGAGAGGAACAAACCACCAACCATGGTAAGAAGAGGTGGTTTCCTCCTCTCCACTCTCCTGCTATTCTTGACATACTTTTGCATTTTTAAGGGAGAAACTGTGCATGTTTTTAGAGAAAAGAACACATCTATAGGTTTGTATTGTGCAATCTATGGGCATCCTGAATGCAAGTTTTAAACTTAACGCTTCCTGTCAGTGGAGCAAGTTTGCCTTAAAAACAGAATGTCAGTGGTGTGGGAACAGGGGATGGCGTCTAGTCTCCCAGAGATTGTAAACAACTATAGACCGGCAAGCTGTTTACAAACAAGCGCGCGTTTGCCCATACCGGGGGTGGGCACTGCGCGTGCGCAGAAATCGAATTCGCGTGAAGTGAAGCGTCTGCGCATGCGCAGTGCTGTCGACAACGCCACCGCAGGTGCATGACGTCAGGGCCGCGTGTTGGTCTATAGTAAACAATGTGGGGAGGGGGTGGGGTAGAGCTCAGCCCTCCACCTTCTGAATACTTCAGACGCCACTGTTCAAGCTTTAAACCCTGAAGAGCAAACTTCCATGTTGTATTGAGATGTCAGCTTCAGCTTTTTCTATGTACTATCATTGAAGTCAGGATATAAAAATATACATGCATGCAAGAAACTGTTATAAAAAAACATATGGATTGAATCCAACAACTGCAGAAAATAAATTTATGTGCCAAAAAAAACTAATGCTACCTATTGCACCCTAAAGAGGACTATGAGCAAAGGCTGTGCAAAAATAACAAAACACTGCTCATTCTACTTGTTTCAGTTACAGTTTCAAGGGCCATCTAATTCATTAATGAAAGTGCCTTTGTGCAAAGCACATTTATGAAGGATGGACAATGGACCTTTTGTAGAAACATCGGTTCGAGAGTAAATGAATCCAGTAACCTCTCTCTCTTCCTTCTGGCCGAACAGAGGGAAGACGGTTTCGTTGTGGCGACTTCGGGGCGAAGTTACGCACGATTGGGACAAAGGCGAGTTTGGGGGAGCAGTATCTAGGTCACAGGCGCCTCAATGGGTGAACAGGATGTAGCTGACGTTTTGGGTGTGGAACGGGAGAGGCCTTGCGCGCGCGTTGTTTTCTCGCCACTTAGCCTCGAACCCATTCGCGTGTCTAGGTGGCAGCACATATTCGCCAAGAGGTCCATTCAATATGATAGTCATTGATTTATTTGGTTACAAATGACGCTGTCTCCTACAAAGACTAAAGAAATGAATACAGAAAAAAAAATGTTCAGGGGTTTAAAGAAAGTCAAAAACAAATCTGTACACACAATTTGCACAACAAAACCTAACACCTTTAGCATAGTCTGAATAATGAAATATGCAAAACATTGGCTGCAAAACAACAAATCCAGGATAAAATAACAATAAAAGACAGTGTCTGCAGTTTTGCGGTTACATGAGGTGGGCAGTCACACGCCCACATTCTTTAATGCTAGCTTTTAAGGTTTTATTTTCGGAGGAGCTTAGGAAATAGCTACAAAGCTGTTGCTTTGTAGGTATGTTTTTAATATCGGTGGGTAAATTTCACGTAAATTAGTTATGTCAACAAAGTTTGGTTGGTTGCACGTCAAAAGATCCCCAGGTGGTCGAAATTAATCCTCAGTCCTCCGCTGGGGCGTGCCAGATGCCCGTCGTTGGTTTGGCACGTAAAAACCCCAAATTTGACTTTTAAAGTTTGGTTGTAATTTACCCACCAATATTTAAAAAATGCCTCCAAAACAACAGCTCTGTAGCTACTTTCCAAGCACCATAAAAAATAAAACGTTAAACACCAACAATAAAGACTGTGGCTGTGGAACTGCTGGCCTAAGAGGAAAATTAAAGGGGCACTGAAGTCGATTCTCAGATCAAACTTTTGTGGTGACAACTCAATCTAGACGCTCTAAGCATCTAAGAAACCCGAAATTACAATCGTGCATAGCTTATTTCCTCGTTAAAAGCATGTTCAAAAATTGCGACACGCCCTTTTTGGGAAGAATTTTCTTCCGAGTGAAGTGGTCGACGAAGGACGCTTGCCGGCGAGTTGCAAGCAATGGCCTCGCTCGCAGTGAAAAAGAGGAGTCTTATCTGAATATGTACCTATCAGACTGTCTTCGAAATGAGTTATAATAAAATCATCCAGAATTTGCACGTGCTGTTAAACTTCCATCGGTCCTCACGATGTAGTCCGTGAAAAAAAAAATCCACATGTTTTTCTATTGCCCCGAGATAAATAGGCAGGTCTGTAATATAGGACTTGGTATATGTGGGAACTAACAAATTTTAAATAATAGAAGATCAAAAACTACCTTTTTCATAAATGACTTCAGTGCCACTTTAAGGTTACAACCGGAAACTCAAACCAAAAACTGCATGCTACCTCAAACTCATTTGGAACAGTGTTGGATAATCTACGACCACTCGTACCTGTTACACAGCTGTGCAAAAATGACAGCACCATCTACATCTAAAAACATACATGGAGTTGCATTACCACGAAGCTTGTGTACTTTCTTAGTGGTTTGTTTTGTGGCAAGCTTAAGGTGCTTCACATTTCCAAAATCGGACACGTCGTAGACATACGACACGATGTACACGCTTTGGCTCCCATCGTCACCACTTGCAGAGAGTATGTGTTCTGCCCTTATGTACTCGTTCCCCAGCCTAAGAGCCGTCGAATCTCGCTTCGACGGAAGCCTGTACTGGGTTATGTGGAGCGTGTGTCCAGCAACACGCACGCGATCATACTCAGAAAGTTCCTGTGCTGAGGCCAGCTCCTCAACGAGTTCAGAGAGATACTGAGGCGGCTGTCTTGGCTTACCGAAAAGGTGAAAGTCGGTTGGCTTTTCACGTTTCTTCAATGACAGGTGTGCATGCACTTCGTCTGGGGCTATAGATTTTAGCTCAAAGAAGCTATTGCGGCGAAGAGTACGCGACAAAATCTGAAAGGGCACACCATTCGATGAAGAAACAAGCTTCAAGAGATGACCCATATTGCTTTCGAACGGGAAGCACGAGAGTGCCCACAAAGGCCCGTGAAGCAGCACAGCCTTCGGAAGGTGCAGCAGAGTATGGAGGTTAGAGGTCATCTGCGCCTTACCGTACAGGCATTCTGTCATCACTACGAATTCTGTCATCTTCTCTGTGCTGACATCAACATCTTCTTCTAGTACCACTGTCTTGGTTAACAGGTACAGAGCAGACACAGAGAGCTCAAAATGCTTGTAGTACTGTCCTGGCAGTACGTCCTTCACGCAAAGCAGACAATAATAAAAAAGCCAGCATTGCCACTCGGCCGCCTTCCAGTACCTGCGGAGCTTCAAGGCTCGTGGCGGTCGATTGGTGCATTGAGGTGGCTTCAGCTGACATAATCGTTCGCTCACGATAGACTGACGTGAAGGGTCTCCAATATAAAAGTCTTCCCCAACAGCCGAGAACCAAAGCTCAGTTAACTGGCGTGTCACGCCAAGCAGTTCACAATGCATGTAGTCCGGAGTAAAACTCCGGACTATGTCGAAGCCTGGCACATTCAGGAGTGGTGAAGGGCCTTTCACGCCGCGGACTGTACTTTTGGTCGCTGCTGCTTCAGACATGTCCGCAACCATTCCGCCCTCGGTACTGTCGGGCATCACACCGGCACTCACTGGATACTTCACGCAACCTGGACAAGCGAGAGGAAACAAGAAAAAATAAGTAACCCCCCCCAAAAAAGATCAAATTTGTTTTCTTACCATTTACACAAACTCCAGGGTGAAGGCACCAGGAACACCCGTAATAGCCATTAAACTGTATGACATTTTGCATCGCAGCCCTCGCGGGAGCATCTGGAACACATCCGATGCAGTAGACCTGAAACAAAATATGTTTATAAAACCAGCAGCTCAACTTATTCATACCATTCAATGAGCTCGTATAGAGTTCTGCAGAAACTGTCCATGACATGCAGGGGCTAGTCATAAGATTGCACCCCGAGATACCACTGTTATGTTTTTCGTAGAGATGCACAACAAACCTGATGGTGCCAAACAAGGAATCGCGAAAATGTGTAGTATAAAGTCTATAAAGTTTTCATAAGCAAGAACGAATTTGGACCAACGAAAAATACCATGTATTTTTTGGGAGCTACACTTGTATACATTAATTTTTTTTTTCTAGAAGAGCCATATTTAAAAACCGAAACTAATCTAATTTTTGCTCAAATTTGGACTACATCCGTTGGTGCATTGATCTCAAACTTTTCAAACTGGAATCAGTCATAGTATGCGAGAAAAACCTTTGTAGAGACACCATAGGACATGGCTCAAAGCTATACTGATAAGCAAATATTCCCGCAGCGTTAGAAGTGTTTGGGAGACGGGGGAATAGGCGGGAAGGAAGCAAAACGTATGCCTCCTCTCATTTGTTTACTAGAAATCTTATAAATGTCCGGGGCGGCGGTTCCCTCCTTGACCCTCTGCCTTATTGTTCTGATACCACTGCCTCCCAAGCAATGCCCACATGCAACATAAGAGCCTTCAATACTTGCATGCACTTCCACAAGAACTTCAAAAATGGCATGCAGGAAAGTTACCTTGGAGTTTACTGTTGTTCCGTCTGCATTCCAGGTAATCCCATCTTCGGCTAGTCCTTTCATTTGCGTCGCGAAGGCTTGCAGAAGTAAAGTCATGTTGGGGTGCTTTGCACCGTACCATAACAATGGTAGAATGACGGAGCGCCAGCGCAAGCACGGCGGCAGTTCGTTCAACGTCAGCTGCACAGGCCAGATGGCGTAGTTGGCAGACTTGAAGATCGGGCTGCCGTCAGCGTTCATGGAAACTGTCAAATCGTGAGGTTCACAACCGAGCTTGGCACGCTGTTGATGATAGAAGTCCCCATCAGTTACGTCTGACTTCTCTGGGGCCCTCGGTGCGTTTACATTCGCCAGGGATTCCACTAGCTTGTGTCGTACATCTTCATCTGCCAGAACCGATGACAGCTGAGCCTCCAAGGGTAGACCGACGAAATAGCAGCCTTTTGACATCAGATCCCGCCCCACGTACTGTTTTCCACACACCGAGCATGTGGGCGATATGTCCTGTCTGTTTTTCAAGGCACCCGTTGTCTTCTCTAGGAGTGTTTCGCAGGTGCACTCTAAAAAAAAGGGTATCACCTTACACCCTTTTGTCCCATATAATACACCCCAAAACTTCATTTCGACGTAGAGCGCCCTATTTTCGAACAGACGGCACCAAATTTTACCAGGAGCTTGATAACGGTGCGATATAACTTATTAAATTGCTAAAATACGTATCAAAGGCCAAAGAAAGACACTACAGAGCCTTTGCAGTACGGCCAAGAAAACTCCGATAATCATTTTTGTAGTCAATAATACGTACATCAGCTATCTTAATAAGTTGCACCACACGGCTATCAAGCCCCTCGTAAACTTTGGGGCCGCCTGTTCGATTATGGGGCGCTGTACGTCTAATTGAAGTTTTGGGGTGTATTATATGTGACAAGGGGTGTAATAATACACCTTTTTTTCTGAGAGTGTGGGACAGTAAAAGTGGAAAGTGATGTCGTCGGGGGAGGCGCTCGCAAATTTCCGGAACAGGTACAGCCGGGGACAAAAGTCTCCAGGACACGCGAGCTGCGACTGAAATGCATTGCTCTGCCATCTGTCGGCGAGTCGCCTGGTTTCGAGATCACAGAAAAGCGCATGCGCGTCCAACTCTGCCTGCCAACATGTGCGCTTTCCCGCTCTTCTGCGGCGCGGCGCCTAATTCGGAATCGGGCGCGTTGTACCGCGTCGGAGATAGCGCTTACTGACATGGCACCTATAAAGGAAGAAGTCACGGCAACTCAACTGAGCGATAAGCTGAACTGGTTATAAAGCAAGGTGCGCTGACACGGCGAAATGCGACGCAATGCCCCAGGCGGTATCTCGAATTTCAGAATATGTAGCAGACGCTCGGTCAGCCGCCAGCGCTATCTCCGAGGCGGCACCACGTGCCCGATTCCGAGTTAGGTGCTGTGCCACAGAAGAGCGGGAAAACACACATGCTTGCAGGCAGAGTAGGACGCGCATGCGCTTTTGTGTGACCTCGAAGCCTGGCGACCCGCCGGCAGATGGCAGAGCAATGCGTTTCAGCCGCAGCTCGCACGTCCTGGGGACTTTTGTCCCCGACTGTACTTACTCTCGGGAAGGCAGCTCGTTCCCAGCAGACGGTTTTGCAGCTTTAAAAGCTTTTCAATGCTGCTCCATGCCAGTCCCTCTTCAATGGCATAGTCCATTATCAGAACTAGAGCGTCCCCAACAGAAAACGAAGTTCCGTTGCCCAGTGGCGTCGCAAATTCGACGAACGGTCGATCCACGCGTGGACTGTGGTACGAGCCCCGAGCACTTTCGCGCTCGGCTGTGTCACTTTCTTCGGTGCAGCTGTCTTCCTCTGCATCGCTGGTACAGTCTGACATTCCGGTCGAAGGTAGAGTTTCAGAAGAAGGAAGAGGTGGTGTGGAGGAGCCAGTTGGCGATTTTCCAATCCTAAGCCTATGTGCTGTAGACCTCGGCATCTGCTCGTATGGGGCAGCATCCGGCTCTAGATACCGCTTCCGAGTCTTGTGCTTCGAGAGCATTTCTGTCAGCTTGTACTTGCGCAGATAAAAATTAATTGGCAAGGCAAGTCTAAACGCTGCGAGGGCGACAACACCACAAACCAACGCACGATCCGATAGATCGCAAAACCGTGACAACAAGGCCAGATTGGATTGGACAAAACCTAAAAACTGGTCAACAAATAGAGTGATGATGATGATGACACCGACCAACACTTTGGACTCACATAATTTAGTTTTAGAGCGTATCTAATTATTTCATTCTTTCCGATTGAATTGCTTTGTGTGAGATGTTAAAATATATTTATATTATGCTAGAATATCAACCTAATCAGTATTTCAAGTTGGCTACGAATCCAGTGATGCAGCCAGGAACCAGGCTAGCCAGGCGGCCAGGCCACATGAGAGCCGGAATCGGGCCTTCTTTGTTTACTTCGAAAAGTTCGGCTTTTTTTGCTTTCTTGCTCTTGACGCACGTGTATGAATATATCGAAAGTTTTCTTAAATGTACGCTCTAGTTAGATTTCTGAATGACCATGATAGGAAGATCTACACAATTCCTGGCACTAGAATTAGAGAGTTTAACCCAGCAGATGCGGAAGACTTCGATTCCCAGCTGGTGTATTCTGCACTTCGGGACGATCCTGACAGTGAAGAGACCAGCGGACATTATCCTGCACAAATCTTAATGATGGCAGGTGAGACTGTTTACTTCTGAAAATCCATTTTTTGTTTCAAACCTGACCATGTAAAATAGACGCTTAACTATCGCGTCAAACTTTTCTCAGAGACTCAAGACGCGCTGCGAGAAAAACAGCTTTCCAAAAGGATACGAAAAGCAAGAATTCATGCTTCTGAGTACGAGAATGAAGAAGGAAGTGAGCCAGAGCAAGTGAAATCCCAATCAACCGTGCCGCGCAAGGGGAAGGCGGTATGTTTCGAACTGGGATCGAGAGGCCTGGATCAGTAAATAGATCAATGCTCTGATTGTATATAAGCGATTAATCTACTTTCAGGAACAAAAGAAACAGAAGGAGCAGCAGCAAGCTGCGAAAAGCAAAGCATATGCTGGAATCCTTAAAGCCCAGCTTGAGAATGTCAAGCAAAAAAACAAGGAGTGTACTGGCATTACCGTATGTGCATATCTATTCAGATTTTATGCACATCCAACTTATAATGTGCTCTATATTAACTGAGATTTAACATCTTTGCAGGCTCCCAAGAGATATAAACGAAACAGTGACACCGACGAGAGTGGTACAGACGACTGCCTTGTGGCATCGTCAGAACTGGCGCTGGCCAAGAAAGATGCCGGGCACCGGCGGCAGCGCTACAAAGAAAAGTGCCTGGAGAATGCGAGGCTTCATGAAATTATCAAATCTCAACAAGCATGCGTTGATGGGAAGCTCCTCTCAAGTAGGGTTAACAGAATTTTATTTTTGTGTGTTGACGCTTGCTAACGGTTTCTAGTGATCAATATATGGTAGCTAGAAAATCCTAGCCTTTGCCATAGGGATACTAAGGGGAGATTGCATGAAAGAAAGTGGTGGAAAGGGAAGGCAGTGTCCTGCTTTGATACATGAGGCCCTTATTTATACCAGGAATATAAGTGCCATGCAGGTATTGATCACATATGTGTTAAGAACAAGCATTGTTTTTGTCCTATAGGAAACACATGAATTAGTGAAGTAAGGAATAAAACATCAAACAAAAAAGTACTGTTTGCATAGTGCAATTGGTAGGATCAGTTATTATCAAGTTGCTTTGGAACAGATATTCTTTTTTAGGCCTGTCAGCTTGGCAGATGATCACTCTTGAGTAGAGCAACGTTCGAGCTCGGCAGTTTTGCCGTATTAGGCAAGGGCTGGTGTAGTGTGCCATATCTTTTTAAGTCGTATTACTACCAGGCTTCATATTCATACCTATTCATACAGGCTTTATAATACTAATCTATCCATACAGAAAGTGAGATGCTGATGATTGACCTGTGTCAATCATCTGCATCCACAACCATCGGCCTGTCCGCCAACATGCATGCGTCGCTGGAAGCACCTCATGCAAGACTTGTTCTCGTTGACGCGTCGTTGCACGAGCATATATATGATGATGTTAATTCAAAGTTGCATGGCATTGAAAACATATAGGAGCATGCATCATATTGGGCTCTTTGACAATGCGGCTATATTCTAGGGTGATTGGGCGAAAATAAAGCTTTTTACTATGTTTTAGTGCACAGACTACTGGAGGAAGTGAGAGACCAGCCACTAAGCAAGGCTCGACTTCTGAACAAAGAACAGCAACAGAACAAGTCCCAAGCACTCGGAAATGATCAACCCATCCTCGGTAAGTTGGTTCATTGACTTATTTGGTGATGATATATGCAAAAATGCAGCTAGGTGTTTTATTGGAGTCACCTCAGCTACTCCAATAACTCACAGGGATGCTGCTAAAGGAGGATTGAGGTTAAATGAAGTTTGAGAACTTCCATTAGCAGCTACAAAGTGTAGCCCTAAATCAACCGATGTATTGCGAATAACCTGTCCATGTACATGGTAGTGTTTCATTTCTGCAACAAAGCAAGGAAAACACTTGGCGGAAGCAGATTTAAAGCTGAAGTGAATAGAAACATAAATGTTCTCTTAATGACAACAACAAGGAGGCATCTGTGCTGGGCAACAGGCTAGCTGTATTCGAAGTGCCTTGATGGCAGGAAGTTTTCAGTCTCCGAGCTTACCATCATGGCTGCCCCATTCAGGTAGCCGGGACACCATTCCCAACTGGAACCTTATTGAAACATCTGGTTGCCATGTGATTTATAAACTTAAAAATCTGAAGTTCGGTTTGCTTGCCTGTGGTGAAAAGCCATTGTATGGTAATTGGCTAGTGAATAATGGTATGACTTGTAGGAATCCAGAACAAAGGGCTTATAAAACTTGTGAGGTCAAGGGGCCCACCGCCTGAGTGGTCGCCGCGCCGGCTTTGTTTGCAGAAAATGTGCAGCTACAGAGGTCGTGTGAAGATGTTTTCAGCTGGACACGTTGTGGCTTCCCTGGCTCTGGTCAGTGCAGCGGGTTGTAGCCTTCAATACGAACACTCACTTGACCCCACTATGTGGGAACCCATCTTCTCAATAAATGCTGGTTTGGGTGAACATTGAATCAGTGTGGCTATACAGTTTCCGTAAACAAACTCAGCACAGCAACTGCTAAGACAGTCAGGAGGCTGCACAATGACAGCGTCAATGTTTGCGAGTGTTTTTATAATGACCCCTTTTGTTCTGGAGCTTACCATGTGTACACGTTTGTGTGCTTGCATGTTTTTTTGGGTTTTTTTCACAACTCTTTATTTTGTTTACTCTGTATTTTGTGTGTATTTCAATTGTGTGTGCTTAACCCAGTAGGCCTTTGAGCTGTTGGTTAGCACAAGAAAAAATTAAACATTGATTGATTGATTGATTGATGGAATATGCATCAAAATACCATTTCATTGCATTTCAGACGTTGCAATAGCATGTAGTGACGAGCGTGCCTCCCCAGCAGGCTCCAATGCAACATGGGCACTACCGCCATCGCCTGGTAAAATTATTTTGATAGTTTCAGTAGAAAGTTAGCTCGTATTTCTTCTGAAAGAATTTGAGGGTGAATATCAAAATGTAACTTAATGACAGTATCACGTATTCCAGATGCTGCAAAGAGGCTCCCACCAGTGGTTGACCGCATCGCAGTGGCTGCAAGCTTCAGGACGCCTTCAGGCAGCAACGGAGAGCGCCTTGTGCAGAACCAGCGCCCGGAACTGCCTAGGGTTGCTTATGGTAACTATTGGCCTTGTTGCCAGCTTTGTGGCTTTGACATACTCACTGATAATTGCAGCTTGCTTCTCTACACTTTTAATAGCTTGGTCTTTAATGCTAATCACAAATAAACTAGGGGTGTGCAAATATTCATAACTTCTAATAATGGCTACAATACTGCCCTATTTGATTTAGTGTATGAAATGAATAGTTGTTTCTCCAGTTTCTAGTATTTCTCAAAGAGTCAGAGTCAGTGTTGGAACTGTTACTTGCCACAGCTTTACTTTCACATGCCCTTACTGAAGGCCTGCCATACATGCCGTTAGATGTCACTAAGCTCTTTCGATTAGGTTCCCTATATACTGGATAAAAGGTTTAGGTTCCCTACTACCGAGGCATAATTGAACCAGCTGTACCAGTTTGTCTCTATGTGTACGGTGCTGTTGTATCTATCTACTCCTACGCCTACGGCTAACTGCACACTTTTTCTCAACACTTATCTCGAACGCTCTGAATCATAATCTCCAGCTGCTTCTGTCTCAATCTGGTTTGCGAAAATGGATGTGATTACGAGGAAAGCAACTGTGCAAGAGGATTTTTTTCTCTACAAAGTTTTTTGTGGTCTGTGATGCCATATGAGCTGTTCGTTGTTGCTGTTCTTTTTTTTCTTTCTTACTCACAGACTTTATACTCATCATTCCAGTGTCTTTTTTCACGATTTCTAGAATGTTTCCACAGTTACGCCAAACTCCTGCCAAACTTGCTCATTGTGCTAGTTTTTGTCCCTATTTATTCCCACCTTATAATTTAGTCATTTTCATCTAGCCTTCTGCTGTCACAATGGTTTTCTAGGAAACTGTAACAAGCTCTATTATGTATAAGCAGTGTATCCAATGTTTGAAATCTATTCTAAAATTATTCTAATCATACACTATTTGGTTTCAAAAATCACTATTTTACACACCCTTATAAAGAAATGAATGTGCATGTTCCCGAATTAATTGCCCTTATTTCATATTGATAGAAATGAGCGAAAGCTAAAAAGTTTTTTTTTTTTTTTACTTGCAGAGTGCAGTCCTGGAGCACCAAATTTCAGTTCATGTGGCAATGGCAGGGTAAGCAAATGTTTTATTTAGTCATGCTTTCTCAAAGTAATGCCTGAATTTCGCTCCTTTTGCAGTTTCACTTGAAGGATGGCGTCACCATCAGCGAAGTACAGGCCGATAATATATTTGACTCTAAGAAAAACAAGCCTGCACTAGCAGTCAAGGAGATTGCACAGGCCCTGTGGGGCTCAGAATTGCTTGCACAGAGGACCTATGGAGGTAAAGTGGCCCCCATAGACAGGAATAATCCTGATGCGAAGCCACGGAAGGAGCTCAGCCCAAACAAAGTGTCCCTCGTCATCAGTGAGAATACTTTAAACATGCTTCCTTGCATTTCACAGTACATATATGATGGTCATACTACTTTTCAGGAACACTCAGCCACTGGGGAATGGCGAAGAAGATTGATGTGGCTCCGGCACTTGCAAACCTCTCGACCATACTGTCCGAAAAAATACAGGATGCGAGAACAGGCATGAAGCGCCGGAGCGCTTTACAACAGACCACTTAGTGCGGCTCGAGACCTTTGTGCGCGAGGCATTCGTCAACAGGCAGCATTGTGTATCTGTTTTCTTTGATTTAGACAAGGCCTATGACACCACTTGGAAGTATGGCATCTTGCACGAACTTTTTATGTACGGATTACGCGGTAGAAGGCTTCAGTGTATAAAGAGCTTTCTGTGTAAACGCACTTTTAGAGTTCGGTTGGGAACAACATTATCAGACTGGTTTGTTCAAGAGAATGGTGTTCCTCAGGGTGAAGTCCTTAGTTCCACACTCTTTGCAATAAAAATTAACTCTCTTAGCAAAGTCATTCCTCCTTCAGTATCTTACTCGCTGTATGTCGATGACATTCAGATATCTGTAGCGTCATGTAATATGTCTAGCTGTGAGCGGCAGCTACAACTGGCCATAAATAAAATGACTACATGGGCTGATGAGAATGGTTTTAGGTTCTCTCCGGATAAAACTGTTTGTGTTCCTTTTTCTTTAAGGCGTGGCCTCTGTTTAGATCCTACACTTCTGTTAAATAGAAACAACATTGCTGTCAAAACGGAGCACAAGTTTCTAGGAAAGAAAGGAGGGGAGTTCGAGGGAGTTAGACGGCGTGACAACACACAGCGTGCGCTAGCACCCCTTCGGAAGGAATATCCTCTCTCAAAGAGAAGGAGCGAGCAAGGGGAAAGAGAACGGGCTGCTACAAGAGTCCCCTGGGGATTCGAAAGGATTATGGGAAGGGGAAGCCTTCCCTCGGGCCAGACTTCCTTTCCGAAGGGGGAACGTGGATGACTAGCCACGAGAAAGTTAAATCCGATCCTGGAGTTTATGCGTTTACTTTACTTCTTTTTTCTTTTTTGCTTCACAGATTCTTTGAAATTGCTGACGTTCCCTTTTCCTTCTTTTTTTGTTTTTTTACGTTTTCCTATTTACTTCCAAGTTCAAAAAGTTACCTGACTGTTTCATAGAGGGCGCTGGCGGGCAGCAGAGTTGCGCGTTCATGCATGGCATGTGGATACAGCTCCTCACGTGATTGAATTCAGCGAATAGCAGCGCCGCGCGTTCGAGGCGCGCGGCGCGCTCAAAGGCCGGGGAACGTACGCCGGGGCGCTTGTAACGTCTACTTTGCTGCACGACACTTGATACGGCTCCTCACGTGATCGGATCTCGGCGAATAGCGGCGAGGGCGGCACGCGGCACGTGGAATCAAAGGCGCAACTCTGGCTCCCGTAGGTAGCCTATACAGGAACTCTAGATCGACAGACCGACACACCATGCCGTGGCTTACATTTTGCAAGATCAAGTTTTTACAAGCTTACGGTTGAGCATGTAACCTTCAAAGGAGGTTTAGATTGGTCTTGTTTACACTTCTGATACAAATGTCTTTGACGCAGGTCTGATCCGGTAAGATAGAGGACACAAACCAATGTGAGACAATCTGGGTAGCTAAAACGATAATAAAAATATCTCGCCATTAATTTGTTTAGCTGTGGGAGACACTGAAAGGTGCATTCCGGAGACAACCAATTTAGTCAGCTGCACGCACTGGCGACCGAAAAACTTTTAACTTAAAAATATATAGCAAAACGATAAAATCGTGGAAAAAGCGTGGAGACAGCATTTATTCTAGATTTGAAGTTCCGCGGGCACGACGTTTTTGCGAACTCTCGAAGCTTACCCAATATTGAATTCATACCGCGTTTTATAAATCGTACAAATAAATTGCAAAATAAAAAGCCCGCGACCATACTCATTCAGGGCACAACTTTTCACAAAGTTTTTGTTACACAGCGCCCTACCTCGCTCAACCGAAGTTATTAGTGCTGAGGAGTCAGGACATCGTCGGAATTTTTCACTTGGTATGATGACCCTCTCTGTTCGCGTTAGGATATTTTAGGGTAAAAACTTCTGGGAGCCATCTTTTTTTTTTTCATTTTGTCAGTTTAAGAAGTTTCTTGACTGCTTCATGTACGGCGCTGGCGTACTGCCTGGTGGGCCGAGACGCCATTCCGTAAATTACATTTTGTGTGTTATAGTTTCGACAAGCTTACGGCCCTGGCGTAAGCTGCGAGCAGATTTTAGGTCGTTTTCGTTTATTATGTCCCTGTTATACGAGGGATCCGACCGAATAGAGGTAACATTACAACGTGAGACGGGCTGGGAGGTGGATCGAAAACAAGAATATTTAAAGGGGCGATGGAATGATTTTAATGTTCAAGGAATTTGCAGCTTGTAATTTTTGTATCGTTTATCTTAAAAAAAAAATAGAAATCACATCGATTTTTTTTTTAAATATCGCGATTCCCTTTCGTTACATGCAAAGCAAAAAACGGTAATATCTCGGGTCTTTAAACCACGTGCGGCGGCTGGTGTGACGGATGTTTGGGTACATCTGGGTGAGTTTTCGCGACGCCATCTGCATGAGGCGCACAAAACCATTCTCTATGATGCTGTGGTGAAAGAATGCGAACACATGCACGTTCAGACACAAAAGGGACGATGAAAGGGGGCTCGACCTTAAAAAGACTATTTACAGAACCCAGACACACAGGTTAAACCTGTGCTGCTGCTTTTATGCGAATGACTCTGGTGTAGATACCTGTGTCTATTTCCACTTTCAAGTCTAACAGGATGACGCCATTCCACGCGGGTACGAATGAGTGCAAAAGGCTCATCTTGAAAAATCAGATTGTTGGAACAGTGTCGTGTATGAAATATCTCTAGCTTGTGGGTCTACGTATGTAGGTCAAACATAAAGACGCATTAACGACAGATTAAATGAGCATAAAAGGAATGCCAATACCAATACAACGACCTTTGAAATAGCTAAACGCGTTCACGAGCAACTCTGAAGTTGTGGTTGGGGCCCTTTTTTATGGAATAAAGTGTACAAAATACAAAACATGACTTTTTTTTTGCAGGGTTGTGTTTTTATTTTTTGCTTCACGATTCCGGGTTCTGTTAGGGATTGTCTCTCTAAGTTTTCGATGTGTCAAAGTTAGAAAATAGGCTTACAATGTGTTGTACTAGGTTTAGGGTTTCATGACGCAAGTTATCGGGAAGGGGCGCGGCATGGCAGCACAGGGAGGGCGCTCCTGAACGATAGAAGGTGGCCTGCAGGCGGACATTCCCCAGAAGAGAAACAAAGGTCCCGAGCCCCGCAAGTTCACTTTTCCCCGCTTCTCTGGCGTTCATGTCCGCCCATCGTCTTTTCTGCGTCCCGATCAATATTATAACGTTAACAGAACGCCCGTCCACATTTCGCTTTAGTGCGATGACCGGCTATTCAGATGCTTGTTTTACAGCAATCTAGGAATCCCACGCATTCATCGAAAGTTCGAAACACATGCTCCAAAAACAAAACAAAAACAGCACTGTGATTAAGTTTAACAAATTCCGTTTATGTTTTCGGGTGTTTGCTGCAATGCACTCTATTTGACATGTCACAAACTCAAAGGTATGTACATATTTTCTGTGAGGAGGTCTAGGCAGTCGAAAGTTGTTCTGGATTGAAACTGTTCCTACAGTAGACGGATAGTTTCGCCACCGCAGTGCGGAAGCTGACGTGGGATCTTAACGTTCATCATGCAATAATAATAAATTTTGCCATGAAACGATACTGAATTTAAAGATTAAGCACTTCAAAAAAGAATGCTGACAGAAGTATGTGAACTTTATGCTCACATGCAATGCCTCTGAACTGTGCGTTTTTTTTTTTTGTTTTTTTTTTTTGTATAGTTTTAAAAGTACAAGCGAACTCCTCTTGCAGTCGCTCCTACGCAAAGCTTGCTGACGCAGTTTCGGGAAACCGGGATGTTGATATACCACGGGTATACCTTCTGAACTGTCGTGACGGATATTTGAATGGGGTGCATGTGTTGGACTCGAGCACTGCGTTGGCACTGCACTTAGGCTTAGCCGCAGTCGATGCCTTGCGGGACATTCAAATTTTGGCTCGAGCTCAATCACTGCAGTGACGGCCGGAACAGCGAAATGTACGAAGTGGGGAGTGCGTACGGAGTGCGAAGTACGGCGCGTGCACCTTTCATTCACAACCGCTGCGCATTGCTGTAATGATCATTCGCGGCACATCATCTACAAGAAATACATAGGGCGGGCGAGCTGGTTAGAAAAGAACATGCTGTATTTGCAAACCCTGGGACGGAGAGAATTGAAAAAAATAGACAACACAGCTCATTGTCTCAAACTTGTGGCCGCTTTTTCTGTTCAAAGTGCAAGAGCAAGTTGTTTTTATTAAACATTTTCTGCGACTACTCGTGCGTGGCCAGAAGTGCTAATAACTGTTTGATAGGTTATAAACTGGAGGTATCTGACGATAGTAGGAGAACAGTTTTATTGTCCCTTTATCGCACTCCTGTACGATGATAATCCGAATCCAATGGGGCAGTGGCCGGGATCTAAATCGGTAATTGCATAAATATACGTTTCTCAAAGCAAATTTTTTTTTATACACAAGACGTGCTGCAATATACAGGACGTCAGAACAAGTCTGGTCAGTGTTTTATTAATTGCTCTGCTCTCCCATAAAATCACGATGGAGAATACATTGCGCGGTCTAAAGAAGACGAAGTAATTATGAAAACTAACGTCAAGGTGATCTCACCCGAGGCTCTAAAATGTTTTCGCTGACGCTTTCCCGGCGTACGCTCACAATGGAGGCAGGTGCGCCAGGACCCGGCCGCTCCTTATAATCCCTTACGTCCTCCAACCCGATTTCGCTAAGCTAGGGGAAGGACGGACTCGACAGGTTTGTTGTTCCCTTCTGCCCTTGGATGGGAATTGACTTTCCTCTAAAGTCCCGTTCACAGCCGTGTCATCCCGTACCCTTATGGCGTCACCGGCGACGTGGTACGGCTACGGGTGTTGTAAAAAAAGAAGAAAAAAAAAGGTTATAAAAAAGAAAAAGAAACAACTAGAGGTTCAGGGCGAGAGAAAAGTACGCTGGGGAGGGGGAAGCAGGCGGAATGGTGG